AGCCTCACAAAATCCCGTCAGATTGCATTAAGGATTTTTACCATAAATCAAGGTACATTATATGTAATCTGAGTCTTTCTTGCTGTGTTATTTTTTACCCAGTATATATTACCCTCAACTGTATGGAAGGTATCCTATTGGCAGTGTGGTGTCCTCAGACCTGGCAAATTCCTTACACTTCTAGCAAATTTTGTGGGAGCATAGTGAGATGGTTCTACTCACCAGGCCCTAAGGCAGGTGGTTCTCAACCTGTGGTCTGTGAGCCATTTGGGAGTTGAATGACCTCTTTGCAGGAGTTAGCGGACAGCATAGATATCTTCATTATGATTCATAACACTAGCAAAATTACAGTTATGAAGTAGCACTGAAGATAATTTATGGTGTGTGAGTCACTGCAACATGAGGAACTGTACTAAAGGGCTGCAGCATTAGGAGTACTGAGAACCTCTTCCCCAGGGCATGATATGTGCATGTGAGGTCCACAGAATGCACGTGAGAGCAATCTTAGAAGCCCTGAGGGTACGGGGCTTTCCACTGAGTGAAGTATGGTTGGTGAAGGGGTCTTCACAAATACCAGAAATGATGTGTACGGAAAACAGATGCCATCTTGGAGACTCTGGCATTTGGAGGCTGTGATAAGTTCTTTAACAGATACAACTATTTTTAATGGCACAAAGGAGAAAATAGTGAATTGGGTGTGGGAAGGCTGTCCAAAGGTGACTGTGATGGGGAACTTACAGGATGAATGGAAATAAACTCTTATTACACAGAGTGGGAATGAAGAAGGGGAGTATGGACATACTTCAGAGTAAGTTTCTGATATAGAGCTGGAGAAGTAGCTCTGAGGTTTAGAGCACTGGCTGCTCTTCCAGAAGATCCAGGTTCAATCCCCAGGACCCACATGGCAGCTCACAACTGTCTGTAACTCCAGTTCCATTATTTTAAAGGTCAAAAAGCCAAGGTAAATTTACTTTCCAATTTTACCAATGTAGACACCTCACTACCAAATATGTTACATGCTTTATTGAAATATATCTTTTTAAAAAGAGGAAAAAACATCAAAGACAACAAATCTATTTTTAAAAGGCTATTATGAAAAGCATTCTTACCAGTGTCTTACCACCATATTTGAACCTTCTCCTCCAGCAACTGCTGATCCTAATGTTACCTTGGTTTTTTTTCCAGTGACTTTATTTTTCCTTTCCACTCCAAAGTATTATGCTAGCAAATTACCTGTCTTTTATGTTTTCCTTAGAATTGGTAACATCATTATATTACAAAAATATTTGCAACATACTCTTTTAATAAATTAATTTATTTAATGCTTATACCCATAAAATTAACATTGTTTACTACAGTTTTTTAATTAAAAATATACTGACAACTTACTTGGCACTCTACTGCACAAAAAGACAAATGGGTCAGGATCCCTAAGGTTGTCAGAATTTAATGGTGTGTGTTTTTGAAATAAATGTAATTAATAAGCATGGAATATTCAAAGTATATAGAAAGCACTAAATAAATTCAGAGGAAGCAAACTGACTATCTCTGGGTAATTCAAGCCTTCATGGAGGAAGAGGCTTTTGACTGAGGGAAACTATCCCCAATGGACACATGGAAATTGTAAAAGATTATTCCAGACAGAGAAAAACACAAGTGAAGTCATGTGCTACTTCTTTAAGTGTAGACAGCCTAACTGTCTTAAAATTTAGGAGTAAAAGTAGGAAGAGTGTCTTAGGTAGGGTCGCTGTTACTGTGGTGAGACACCATGACCAAAGCAACCTGAGGAGAAAGGTTTTTTTTAAACTTTCCACATCACTGTTCATCACCAAAGCACATCAAAACTGGAACTCAATCAGGGCAGGAACCGACACAGAGGTCATGGAGGTGCTGCTCACTGGCTTGCTTCCCATGGCTTGCTCAGCCTGCTTTCTTAGAGAACCCAGGACCACCTGCCCAGGGATGGCCCCACCCACAATGGGCAGGGCCCTCTCCTATCAACCATTAAGAAAATGCCCTATGGGTTTGCCCTACAAAGCTGTTCTTATGGAGGCAGTTTTTAAATTGAGGTTCCCTTCTCCTAGGTGACTTTAGCTTATGTCAATGACATAAGACTGCCCAGCACAAAGAGCCTGGGGATTTAACTCAGTAAAGACACCCACCTAGCAAGTGTGAAGCTCTAGACTCTATCCTGAGAGTGTGAATAAAGTCTGTACCATGTACATTCACACTGTGCCTGAATCCCTCTGGAGAAGGGAAGACTTGAGTCATTGCTCACCCCAATAAGACTTGTGCCACTCCTGCCACTGGCGGGCTCACCTTGCCACACTGGTTATTGTTCAGGGGAACGCTGCAGTTGAATTTAGCTGGCAGGAAGACATGGGGGAGAATTCCAGGAGATACTAGAGGGCCCAATAACATAGACACTGCCACCTTTCCAAATGAGTTATAACTCTAATGAAAGTTTATTTGGTATGTGGGGGTCCTCTTGCATTACAACCAAGTCATCAGGCATCAGAGCACCTTCCTGAATAGCTGAAGAGCTGGGGTACATGAGAAGAAGGTTGGCAAATGCTTTCTTCTGATTGGCTATCATTAGATGTTAAGATTTATCTTTCTTTAATACAAAAACCCACACAAGACTTCAGGATCTGGAAAAAAGGGGGAGAAAATCATGTGCGGTCTAAAATTAAACATCAAATATAACTCATCTACTAACCTAGGGTTGCAATGGGAATGTTATCACAGCTACATACAGTTTGAAAACTTGAAGTGATATAATAAGCTATTAAAGTTGAAAAGGAAAAACAACTGTGAGGCTGACAGAAATCTGGAGGTCAGCTTGTGTTAGTTTCAAATGTGGCTGTGGTTTAAGCAGAAAGAGATGACAGTATATTAGCAATGGTGTGCAGTGCAATAATGACCCTAGGGTGGGGTGATTGCTGAAAGATGACACCTTTTGCAATCATCTGGCTAATGCTGTAAAACTATCTGTGCTGTGCAAAGGCAGTACAACTGAATAATTTTTATACATTTGGGTTGCTAGGGATTAACAAGGAGCTCTCAAATAACGGTAATTTAGGAGGATTCACAAGAAAGAGTGGCATGAAATTATTCATGGCTTTTTGTGCTATTAAACTGTATTTTCTGGCAGACGGCACTAATGAATTTCAGGAAGGTAACTTTGCATAGGTCTGTAAAATCCAATTTCTAACATATCTGCAATATATATCTAAAGTCACTCAAAAATCGTATTTTTTAAAAGACAAGAAATGTAATGGGGTAAAAGAAACACTGTTAAGTAAGGGAATTAGGAAACAGTATTTCTACAGTCAGTACAGGGTTGAACCATCAACCACAGGAAAGAGAATTGTTTAGAAACACTTGTACAAGGAACAGCTGTAAGGAATTCAAGTTCATACATATGCCAGTCTGACACTCCAGTCCCGCAATGCCCATGTTATCTGCAAAGGTTTGCGGCCTTAGAATAATACGTAAGACATTTTTGTCTTTATTTTTTAAATTACAGTCATTAACATTCAGAGTCTCCCTGCACCCCTTCTCTTCGGGCTGTGCTGGAGACCAAACCACACTCACTGGTGCTAAACCTGCACTCTTCCACTGAGTTGCATTCCCAGTCCACGGGCTTTCATCTTCATGACCAGCTAGCCTCTATCTGCTAGAAACACACAACAGGCCCTCCCAAGTTATCTGCATTATCGGCTTTACAGGCTTCCATGCTTTTCTAGCAAACTCAAACTGGAAAGGGAAATGTATAAAATGAGGTTTTTATATGTGTTCTAATGCCTACATTGAAGTGTGCAAAACAGGCTACCAGTCCAAAAGTTATAAAACTACCTAGCTATTGTTGGCAGATTGCAGAATAAAGACATGAAAAGAATGAGAGCCAAGCCTAAGATCATATCTAACTATGTATTTAAGGATCTCTGGTTTTTGTGTGTCTGCTAAGCCACCGGTACTACCTGGTACTACTACGCTGAGGGAAAACTTTTAAATTAAAATGGGCAATTAGATGTTTTAGGAATTTTTATTTTTTATGTATATGGGTGTTTTGTCTGAATGTGCATATGTGCACCAGGTACATGCAGTACCAATGGAAGCCAGAGAGGGCACTGGATTCCTCGGTACCGGAGTGACAGACAGTTGTGAGCTGCTATAGTGAATATGATTCTCTTCCCCTTGGTTTTTAACAATTCATTTTATATTTATGCTTAGCAGTGTACCTTGTTTACTGAGGCATAAAATGTACAAATAAATATTCTTACAGTATAAGCTCCATCAGCTTGAGTGAATCAGATGTAGGTGATCATCATTTCTTCAAAGTCCTACTCTTTCCTCTTGGAGTTTTCATAAGGTCTATATTTGTAGTCATTTGTCCGATAGGTCTCTGACATGGGCAAGTTTTCATTCTATTCTGACTGCCCATCAGTAATGAGCTATGTGTTCTCAATTTTTTTTTTGCCATTTTTGTGATGGGCACTGTGCCTGTATGTGTACACACATCTACCTGTGTGTAGGCACATGTATGCGTGTGTATGTGGGTATATCTTCATGAAGAACCCAAGTTTGATGTAGGCAATCTTCCACCTTGTTCAGTGAGGCAGGATCTCTCAGTCAAAGCCAGAGCTCACTGATGTGGCTAGACTCCCTACCCAGCTCACTCTGGGATTGCAGGTGGGTTGCCACGCCCATCTAGCATTTATGTGGGCTCTGGGGATCCAAACTTCAGTCCTCGTGACATAACTACCAAGCCATCTCCAGAGCTATGATATTAAATATAGTAAATTGTTACCTACAAGTGGGTGGGTCTAGGTAATGACAGTTCAAGGAATGGCAGAGACCTGTAAGACTAAATAGATCCCCTTCCACCACCACCCCCAAGTTACTTTTGCCTGTGGTGTTTATCACAGCAACATAAAGCAGCCTTTCCTCTGTCATTGTAGAATCTAGAAGACAGATACATTTTAATACTTTATTAAATATATAGATATGTTATGAGTATAAAGTTTGGAGATCTTAAAATGTGATAATCGCAAAACAGAAAAAACACACCATCTGCTACAATGTTCTCACTTTAGTGGCACATGCCTGGAAATCCCAGCATTCAGGGGACTGAGAAAAAGAGGATCACAAGTTCAAGGCTTGCCTCCCCACCTCCCCCCTGAAAGCTGTAATTTACCCATAAATCCAATCAGATCAGCTAATGCTGGGATGCTCAAAGTGTAGACTCCTAGTGATCATGAGTAAGAAAGATCATTCTGAAAGCACAATAATAAATTTAACTCACCATAGGGGAACATAAGCCATTAAAAGGAACTCAGTAGTACTAATTTAAATTCATTTCCAAAAAACAGCTTGAAATGACAACTTGAATGAGATTTTAAAACGTAGCATGCAAAAAAGATTAGAAAGGCTGAGAACCATTACACACATTATTAGGCAGCATGAAGGCTACAGAGTCCACTAGAAGCAACAAAATGGCAGAACTTTCAGCATAAAGAAAAACCAGAAACTCTGGTCCACAGTCTGAGTCACACATGAATCAGGCATTGCCACCTAAAACAAAAATCTGAACAGGTGTACAGACCACTGACCATAGCAAAGACTCATTAGGACATTGTAAATCAACTTTTCAGCTTTCCTTGAAAAAAATACTTCCTTTTATAGCTGTTTATTAAACATTCATTTAAGTGTTAGAAAATTTGGGGAACATGAACTAAAGAAAAATTGTCCCACAAAGAAATTAATAATATAAATTACTTTTTAAAAATGTTTTTGGAGGGCTGGAGAGATGACTCAGCAGTTAAGAGCACTGGCTGCTCTTCCGGGGATCCTGAGTTCAATTCCCAGCAGCCACATTATGGCTCACAACCATCTGTAATGAGATTTCTTCTGGACTGCAGGCATATATGCAGACAGAACACTGTATACAAAATAAATAAATCTTTAAAAAAATGTTGGTGTGGCCCACCACACTTAGGAACTTCAGCTTGAAGGAAGTTTAATGAAGAAGTCTGAATCATTGTACCAAATATCATCAATCAATATTGAAAGTAAATTTCAATATCATTTCATATAATGTCTTGTAGGTGGAGTTTTCCTCCTCGCCCACCAGTTCTCAAATAACTGATATAGAGACTCGATATTAATTATAAATGCTTGGCTGATAGCTCAGGCTTACCACTAACTAGTTCTCACAATTTAAGTTAACCCATTTCTATTAATCCACGCATTGCCATGTGGCTCTGGCTTCACCTGTCCTTCAGCATGCCTTGCTCCCTCTGTGTCTCCTGGAGACTCCACTGACTTCACCCTTCTTCCTCTCGGCATTCTCATTTGGGCTGTCCAGCCTATACTTCCTGCCTGGCTACTGGCCAGTATTTTATTAACCAATGAGAGTAATGCATATTCAAAATGTACAGAAGGTTTATTTCACAGCAATGCCTACTGAAAAAAAATGATCTAGGATAAATGGCAATGTTGATAGCCATAATAAATAAAATTTAACCAACAGATAGAATAAGGCTTTCAAAATACAGTAAAGCAACATTATCACTTCACTACAAGGTGGGTTTAAAATGAAGAGCAGAATGTGTTTTTCTTTTCTTTCATTAGTGTAAATAGTTGTTAACAGTTACTTGAACAAAAGGTAAGTCCTATGGTCTCCCCAGCTACCTCCCTCATCCCTTTAAATGGAGACTCATTCAGGTCAGAGGGAGGGAGGGAAGGAGTGAGAGAGGGACTCCAGAACTCCACATTCTTCATATTTAATGGGTAAAACCAATGGGATTAGAATAGCTTATCTTATTTTTTTAATGTATAGGTGTTTTACCTGTACCATGTGCATGCCTGGTGCCACTGGATGCCAAAAGAGTCATTGTATTGGATCCCCTGAAACTGGAGTTATAGACAGTTGTGAGCTGCTATGTGTCTGGTGAGAACTGAACCCAGATCCTCTGCAATAGCAGCCAGAGCTCTTAACCACTGAGTCATCTCCCTAGCCCCTTCTAATGGAGGTCCTACTGAGTCTTTACAAAGATACTATTTCAGTTGTCTTCAGTTAGCTGTACTAACTTGTAAATACAGGGAACATGATCTTTATAGTAGTCACTCACACTTATTACTATAAGAAACAAATCACTTTTAGGAATTACATCAGTATGAACACAGCAAACGTTTGTAGGAATATCTGTATTTCTATTGGGATCAAAGTGAAAAGCTACAGAGAGCAGGACATTTTATTGATAGGTTAGGGCCAAATGCCATTGTCAAACTAGGAATGCAAAGGCTTCAGCAAGCTTACACTCCACAAACTGAAGCACTGTGTTCATTTTAGATTACATAGTAGGGGTAAGGGGCAATAACCCAGTGAAACGAGGATTACCAGTTACAAAAAGAGAGGGTTTTTTAAAAAATTACCTTCCAAAGGGTAGAAATTAAAATATATCTGTCGAAATGATTTTGTCCTTTCTGAGACACAGAGAAGAAATGACATCATCATAATTGAAATATGCCTGGTATTACAGCACCCTCTGTCACTGAGTATAATTATATGAACTAGTTTGCCTAATGTGAGAATGTTTGTACAAACTTTATGGTTTTAGTGCTTAGTTTACTTCCATGGCACCTGGTGGAAAGGCTACGAATTTGCCAGATTTCAGTGTCAATATAGCAATACTAGCAAGCGTTCTCTCAACAAAGCCATCCTGAACTCTGGATTATTTCAACGTGCGCCTTGCCCACCGGGCTGGCTGGTCTGCACATCTCCTCTCCCAGTTGTAAACTATAGTTAACAGGCTTCTTAAAACCCTTCTAAATCCGAATGCTTCTGCAAGTAGGAAAACCACTGCTGTACAAAAAATGCCCAGTGACGAGTGACAGTGACAAATGTCTCCTTCTAAGGGACACGTCTCCTTCTAAGGAAATGTCCTTCTAAGGGACATTTCACTAATTTGCACTGTGTGTCTTGATACACGATACTGAAAACAATTGCTAATAATGCTTCAGGTCTAGAAAACCTGAATTTTCGAACATGAATTCTTAAAGAGAGATTTCATGTTGATTTTCTAACTTTGGGGACCTTTAAAGGAAATACGTCATGCAATTATGGTGCAGACTCCACTTTCCTGAGCTAAACCTGGTGAGACGGTCTTATTTTAAAACATCTAATAATTTTTCTAATTTCCAATCCTCAATGCTGCTGTGTTCGCAACACCCACATGGAAGAAAGCAAAAGCTTTTTACAGCACAGGCTAACAAAGGTACGAAGTAGAGCCATCTCTGGAAAACGGAAAATGGAGGCCCTCGGCCTATTCAGAGTAAACCCAACCTACGCGGACGGCGGCCCGGAAACCAGGAACCAGACGGCAGAACAAAAGGAAACGGGAACTGTGTTCCTAGGGCTTGAGATCACGGGAAAAAAGCCGACTTCCGGCCGCTTGAGGTCCGTTCCACATCAGGACTCCAACCGTTTCCGTTCAGAGTAACCGCAAAACCCGTCCCGCGCGGGAACTGGTCAGGGGCGGAGTCTTAGGTCCCGCCCTTCTGGCGGTGTGCGTAAAGCCTACCCGGGACCGCGGCGTCTCTGGAAGGTTCCGAAGGGAGGAAGCGAGCCCATCCGCGGGTGGAGGAACATCTCGGCGCCAGATGGCGCTGTCGCACCGAGAGCCAGAGCCTGGGCCTCAAGGGAGACGGGAAGAGGCGCCACCGGAAGTGCGCATTCCAGTCCCGGATATTAAGCCTTCTGGCAAGTTCACCGCGCGGGGGCGGGGCTCCAACCGGAACCGGACCGCGAACGCCGGGCCGCGGCGCGGAAGAGCTAGGCGGTGCACCCGACGCAGGCTCTGACTTCCGACTCGCGCGCCGCGTCTTGGCGGGAGCGCGAGGGGGCGGGACCTTCGCCCGCGCTTGCGCACTAGAAGGGCGTTGGTACGAAAGGCCCGCGCTCGTTTCTCGTCTTTGATCGCCCGCTGGCCCCGCCGGGCGGAAGTGGCCGTGGTGTCGTAGACGGCTTTCGTTGGTTGGTTTTGCTGCTTCCCACCCGTGGGGGGGTTGATTTCTGGCTGTCAGTTCCGTCTCTGGAAATCTCTGCAAAGTTAGCGATGTACGAGGCGGACCCGAGCCGAGCTCTTCCGGTGTCAGCCGTGGGCCCGGCGTCCCTGTCGCTAGTTGCCCACTCGCGTAGGCAACCGGGGGCAACTGGTGACGCCGTCACGGACCCGGAGGAGCACGTGTTTCCTCTCCGTAAAGCACAATTTGAGTTCTTTTTGTTGTCAGGGTGTCGGGGTTGTGCCTTCCGTGGTGTGGCTTTGCGCAGAGCAGGTGGTTGAGGGAAAGCCAGCCCCGCCCTTCCCCGCGCTGGCAGTGTCTGATGCCCGTTTTCAAGGAGATGGGCAGAGCTTCCCCAGGCTGCGTGGGCTTTGTTCTGGTCTTGGGTGTATCTGAGGACCGTGGACGTGTACTTGCCGAAAGTAAAGGCCGCATGACTCCGGGTCCACCTTTTATTTCACGCTGAGGGGCAGTTTCTCAGAAATCTGTTTTCGGCCTTTGGTAAACACGGTTAGGAATTTCAGAGATCCATGCTGTCAGTGATTTCCTAAAAACAATATTCTTTACTTTTTAAATACAATTTGTTTTGCTCATATTTTCATCCCCAACTTCCTTACCACCTCATCCCCGCCCCTCTACAAAATCAAAACAAATACAAAAATAATAAAACAACATACACACAATTTTGTGTTGGCCAACTGTTTCTGGACATGGAGACTGACCTGGAGTGTGGTTGACATACCCGGTGACACTCCACTGGAGAAAATTGATGTCCCCTTTCCCATTAGCTACCTGCTGTAAATACCTACTGGTTAGGGGTGGGACTTGTGTTCTCTGACCCCTTCTCTGTATTGGGATTTTTTTTTTCTGTTTGAACCTGTTGTGAATGGAAATTCCTGAAAAGAAGCTATGTGGTAGGCACTGATTGATTAGAACTTAAGTACTATGGCGATGTTGCAGGTCCAGAGGCTTACCTTGGCCTAATTTTAGCCCCCACACATGCTTCCACCAACCTAAAAGCTAAGGAAGTCATCAGAAAGCATCTGAGGCCTGTAGGAAAGCCTGCCCCATCTTGCTGAAATCACTTCTATAATAGTCCCACCAATGTATTTTAAGTCTGTCTTGATTTATGACTTTTTTTGTTTTGCAACACTATGAGACTAATTCCACGTAGGAACATGGAATTTGGGGTCACCTAACTCTATCTTCCCTGGGCCGTGGTCACTCAAAATGGCTCCAAAATAAACTCGTGTTCCCTTTGAGATGAGCGCTGTGGGATTTGTTTCCTTTGACACTGTAGGTTACGTGTGTGCTGTCACAGCTTCTGCGAGTCCATATACGTGTCAGCCCTGGCGTGTCTGGGTGACGCTATTTAAAAAATGTTCTTTAAAGCTGAGTGAACAGAGTAGAAGGCAGAAAAACAGACACGGGTGTGGAGTCAGGAATGAGAAAAAGCGAATGCTCTGCTGTAGGCAAGAAAGAGCTTCCTCTTGTGTGTCCTCTCCCTCCCCCCTCTAGCCTCCCCCTCCTCCTCCCTCCTTTTTTTCTCATGAGTCAAAGACACTCTGCTCAGGCACCCAAGGAGTACCTCCCTGCCTAGTCCATCTCAACTATTGCTACTTGAGCAGTGTTGCGTTAGAAGTTTATGTAAGGACCAAGTAGAAAGTATGGGCAGCACTGTAGGTCACTCAGAAGAGGTCAGGAATAGGAAAAGCTGAGACTGTGTGCCCAAGGAGAGAGAATAGGAAACCTAAACTAGAAGATCTTAGAAAGCATGAAGTGGAGGGTGGAGCTAAGCCTGTGATAGATCTGAAGGAAGATTGACATGACGACATGGCAGTGGTCTCCTAGGACCCACGAGAGTTCCAGCTTCTTGCACTTCACATTTGAATTCAGGAAACCTTGACCAGGCTTCCATCAAATACTAGACATGACACTAAAATACTAGAGTGAAAAGCATTAGGGCAGGGTCTTGCCTCAAATTAACTTGTCCATTTTATTCAAAACTATCCCAAGCTTCTCTACAACAACTTTTCCATCTATAGTATCCATGCGTCAGGCTTGGTGTTTGTCTTCTTGCTGATACTTATTTCATGCTTAAATAGGTTTTTCAACCTAAAATGAAATTTTCTATCATAGAACAAAATGAAATTTGTTTAACCCAGAGCAAAAGTTAATAGGAAGAAGCTTCAAGATACTATCTTCATGGGCAATTACATTATTGACAAACCAGAGCCCTATAACATGCAGTTACACTTAGAAGACAAAAATAGAGCAAAAGGGAGTGAAAATCTGTGGTGTTAGCGATTAGTCACACGATTACAGCTCCTGATGGATTGACAGCCATCAAATACCAGGAGAAAAGGGACTTCTGTTTTTAATTTTTATTGTATGTATACAGGTGTTTTGCCTGCATATATATGTGTATGTGCTTACCACATGTGTGATTGATGCCCATGAGGATCAGAGGAGGACACCAGCTCCCCTGGAACTGGAGTTACAGATGCTCATGAGCTGCTCTGTTGGTACTGGGAATTGAACCTGTGTCCTCTGCAAGAGCAACAAGTGCTCTTAACCACCGAGCCTCCTCTCCTGCGCCTTTGAAAAAGGGAAGCAGGCTGTTTTTCAGTGGACTGTTCATTGAAAGAACTATCTGCCAGGTTTTCATTTTTTATACCTTATTGCCCCAGCCCAGATAAGAGTTAAAGCTCCTTAGGCACCAGGTCTTGGCCTCAGCTTTGATCACCTCAACGCCAGTGTTCATTCCTTACTCACCAAGGAGGCGTGTCAATGTGAATGTGACCTGAGTAATTGACACCATTCTCAGATCCATAGGACAGTCCTGATAAGAAGCCATGTTTCAGAATCAAAACCTAACTTTCCTTACTTGGTAGTTGGTAGTTCATCCTTATTTTCATAATTCATAGAATAAACAAATACAGCTTAGAACAAGGTAGCTTTTCATACTTATTGGACAGAAGTGGTCCAAATGGCATTGTCTCACTGACATTCCTGAACTTTGCTTTGGAAATCTGTGACACCATATATAGGAAGTATTCCCAAAAGTTAACCATCACATTTGTTGTTATCTGTCCGAAGCATTGGGTCATGCACTGTTGAGATATCCATTCTTTGTGGCACTGAACTTCAGCAATCATTTGTATTGGAGCAGTTGACACACACACCTTAAGGATGAAACATCAAATCTAGAGTCATCAGATGATTTTATTGCAGGTCTCATGAGGCCCTAGCTGGGCTTTCAAGTCTCCCTCGACATGTTCCTTAAAGGACTGCTCAGCCCTGCATTCCAGTAATTTAAGTGTAGATTTTTCTGGCAGTTGTCTTGCCTTTCATAGTGTGCTTACATGGAATGATGAAAACAAATGTGCCTTTTACTTCTCTGAATGGGGTTATTGTAGAGAAAAACGAAGTCATAAATAAGAGTGCAAAGTTCCCTTTGTCCCCAAAGCACAGTCACACTCACTCCAGCTCTTCTGATAAGAGAAAGAATATGGCTTCTTATATTCAAAGTAAAAACCGGCCTTGGAGCATATGGGGTCCCCTCCCCCCACTTCTGGAGCCTTTACGGCATCTTTTTATGTTATGTGAAAGCTTTGTAGTCGAACTATTTTAGAAAGAATAAATCAATTTGTTTTTCTGAATTGTCTTTCCCTTGAAGTTTTATTTTTGTTTTCTGGCAGAAAAACACTTTTACTTAAGTGTACTAGAACTGAATTATTAAAAAATAATTTCTTCCAAGAAGCTTTTAAAAAATCAACATTAAATTCAAATGGAGATGGACTGAGGTTTCCACTTACTGCTTCGTTTACTTCTGTTTTGGGCCAACCTTACTCAAGTTTATGTAATACACTCATTTGGCTTTTCCTAGTCCTTTCACAACTTGGAAAATTCTGTTTAGAAAAAGGAATATTTTCATCAAGAGTAATACATTTAAGTTTTATCCGCTTTGTATATTGGTTTGCTATTTTGTTCATGAAGGACAGGACTTGTAGAATAAGAGAATAGACAGTTAGTCCTATGGCAGTGGTAAAGTACATGGCCCTGCTCTATGGTTCTGACACACTGAGCGACTAGATTCAGAAGGTGAGTGTGTCCAGAGACCTTTGGGCTTTCTAGAACCACTTTAATTTTATTTAATTTGTTTTTATTTTTTAAAAGTTAAAATGTAATTATATAATACCCTTCTTCTCTTGAGTAGGTCTCCTCATTGTTCCTTCTCATAATCATGGTCTCTTCTTCTCTAGTTGTTACTGTTAAATGTATAGTCACTTTTTAACACTGGTCCATCCATGTACGCTATGGATAATGGAAATATAATAGGAAATGAAATGGTTTTTCTGGTTAGATGACATTGAGTGTGGTCTCAATTGCAGGCATGAAAAAATACAATAACATAAAACATGTAGTTTATAATACCCTTAAAACCTGGGTTTCATGACAAAAAAGTTCTTAAAATGTTGAATTTCAAAGTCAGCCTGTTGAGCTACATTGA